CCAATTATTTTAATATTTGAGACGAATTACAGTCATCCTATTTACAATGTGTTAACATTTTTAAGACTTCTGACAGATTGATTTAAGACATTTTAAGGCTAATTAAGGCCTTCATTTTGGATTGATGAATTCAATGCCTTTTAAGACTTTAAACACTTTTTAATGACAAAAWTTTTTTATTTAAGACCAATTTCACAATAAACACAAAGGAMAAAAAATKAAAYAAAAACTGGGAGAAACTCATGAATCAAAGTATTTTTGCTTGAAGTATTCAAATATTCCTAATAGACCGATTGTTTTTAACCGTATCTTAACTGTTTTTTTTTTGTCAAATGTAGCGAAAACATTCTTAGCAGTCAGTTTTAAATTTAATTTAATTCCTGTAAATTCTCTAACAACCCAAAATTTGGGGATTTAGGACCCACAGTGGGGTCTCAACCCCAATTTGTTGTGGATGAAACCTTAAAGTGCCCGTGACATCAATTTTTTTTGTAAGAAATGTGAAAACATTTTTGGAAAGACAACATTATTAACATATTACGAAATGAATTTCTTAGCAGTCAGTTTTAAACTTAATTTAATTCCTGAATTACAATCATCCTATTAGTTAATTATCGTTTTATTTCATTTTATTACAGTTTTTATTTATTTCAGTTAACTAATATGTTTACTATAATAATCCTGGTTAGTGCTCAGAGTATGTGTAGAGAATGACTCTCAGCTACTACCACACCCAATTTTAGCTCAGCATTTGAAAAACGAACTGTATCTTAGCCATTTTTTTATTATTTAAATACAAAAATCTTGACTTGACCACTCACGCTCACTGCAACATGTACCTACCAGCAGTGACACCAGCAGGAACAGAAAGCATCGGCCTGCAGCTGTTCCCCTTCAGCCTGCAGGGAATCAGACTCTCATCTTGTCCAGCTCCTCACGCAGTTAACAACTGACCTGACGGAGCTGAAACAGCTGCTCCTCAATAAGGTACAGTGGTCCGAAAGACAGCAGGAGGCTTTGGTTCAGTTCCCCCCGCTCCGGTAGTATTAACATATCAGGATCAGAGCCGAAACTGGATCCAAACATTGAGAGCATCTTATGTCTGGGGAAGAAAAAGAGATAGAAAATAGTTTATTCAAATAAACACAAATTAAAACAAACAAAAAAAGACATTAAACACATTGAAAATCAGGGTGAAGATCATAATAATAAAATGCGTATTGGAATGTTGACTAAACGAGAACTAATCAGAGGAAAAAGCTAAATTGCACAGAAACTAAGCTAAGTACATAAAAAATTTATTGCATCTGATGTGGTGTTACAATTTTAACTTTCAAAAACAAATCAGGTCTGTTTAATAGAGTAAATTTCAATAAAAACATTCTTCATGTATTTTTTTGTTAACATYATACAATATACAATAGAGAAGATGGGTTTCTGATTAAACAGTTCTCTGGGTGGAACTAAAAGGMCRTAAAGAAAACCACAAATTTTATTTCCATGTTGCTGCTCTAAGTAAAATTCTGGATTATTATAATTATATWTTTTTAAGTTTTGTTATTGCTACATATTCAAAAAACTAAAATTTGTTTGTGAAGATTTCTGTGCAGACTAATTAGTAGTGCATTTTAAATAATGCATGTTAAAAAAGTGAAATGCATGCCACAGTTTGAACTTTGACCCAAATGCATTTAGCAGGGTCAAACCTTAAATGTCGTCTCCCTTGTCTTTTGACATTTTTGAAGCAACTTGAATTGTTTAGCCTGAGCTTTTTTCAAACTGTTTCTTTTCCTCACTGCAAAACACAAATGGGATCAGTATTATTTTTTTAATGAGTTGGGAAAACCTGTCTGTTTGCAGTGAGTGGGGGACTGGGAGGGGAGTTTAAAGGGGAAACAGAGCAAAGCTGTGAGCAGGGGTCACACATCATCTGCTGACAGCCCACTGGATGATGGTGTGTTCCATTTGTTAAGGAAAATCAAATTTTCCGAGTGTCGAGTCAGACTATTCAAGTGGATCGGCCTCCGAAGTAGAAAATTCCTGACAAATCGAGAGTTCAAAATCCAATATGGCTGCCTCACCCATGAAAGTGGTGACAGCTGCAGTCATAAACTTATTTTTTTACTTCTGTCAGCTTGTAAAGACGTCAGTTGGAATGCGTAAAGCACACAAATCCACATTTTTCTGCTAATGGTAGTTAGCCTTATTAAAGCACACCTATAAACAAATTCAATCAATTTTTTTCCAGGTTATAACTAAAATGTAACGTCAATCCCAAATTGATTTTAGGAATTACGAGGTGATTGGAACGCAGCAAAAAAAATGGAAACTGGAAGTCTGTCAATCAATTTCAGTTCACGTCCACAAAAAAAAAAAAAAAAAAACCACAAATTACCAGAAAAAATATGTATTTTTAACATGCATGACGTGTTTCTCCGAATTAACTGCATTGAAGTTCCTTGATTAGCAGAGCTTTATAGTAACTAAGTACATTTCTATGTTCGCTTTTGTAACAACGCTCTGTTTACTGACATTCCCCTCTGACATCACTTCCTGTTTCTTCACATGGAAATATCTCAACAAACGTTCATCTCGGTGACGTGAAATTTGGTTTGCAACATGTTATCAATGTTATCTTTCCGAAAATGCATTCATGTTTATTACAAACATTTGATGTCACAGATACTTTAAGTAGTTTTATTTTGAAGATTTGTAATTTTACCAACTTTTTTTTAAATGGCTACTTTTATTTTTGTTACATTTTAAAGCTAAAAATGATGCTTTTACTTCTTTACTTTAAAATGTAACACCTAGTTACTTGTTACAAAATCAAATCTGTTTGAACTCATCATGAAAGATGTTTCTGCTCTAAAAAATGAAGAGTTGAATTTACTCAACAAAGTCATGTCAGCTGGTTCCACAAGTTGAGTAATTTGAGCAAAGAACAAACGTATCTCTTTACTCAACCTGGTTTAGTGGAACCAGTTTGATTCAGTAAATTCAACAGTTTATTTTTTATAGTGTAAAAGTACATTTATTTTCACTTTCCCAGTTCTTGTGAACAGTTTTATGACTTTTACTTGAGTAGTTTTCTCATCAGTGAAATTTATTTTTACCAGTCATTTTCTGTTCGTGTAATTTTACTTTTACTTGGTTATTTTCTTCAAGTACTTTACAGACCTCTGTCGATTAGCCTGCTTTTGACTTCCCGGCTTCTTTGAACTCACCCTTCGCTCAAATATTAGCCTAATTTTAACTGGCTAACTACTCACAAGCCACGCCCACATTACAGATTCCCCCCGCCCCTTCCTTGCAGTGTGAATGGAATCCTGCAGAAGAGTGATGGCTTTAAAGTGCTCCTCAGAGCTGCTGCTGCTGTCAGTGCTCTGTGGGAGCTTTCTGTGACACCGTTTCTTCAGACGTGGAGGTTTAGAAGCAGAATGAAGCGAAGCCACAACTACAGCTCRTCAGACAGTGACCTGGACGATAATGTGGAGGTAGAAAAGGACAGTGGCGACGAAAATGGGTATGAAAAGCTCATATTTTCTGTTTTGAATGCATATTTTTGAGCTTAAATGTTTTGCTTTTGTAAGCAYGTAGAATAATTTTACTTACTAAAGCTTGAAAAGCTGTTTTTTATTAATTTAATTTAATTTTTTCATGTATTTGCTCTGAAAATCTCCAACTTTTGACCTTTTTCAGTCAACTCGACTCTCAAGAATCAATGTCTCCCACCACAACCACACAGGTTCAAGCCAGAAAAAGGCGCAGAGGGGTGAGGGATCTTGAGATGTCGCTACAGATTTACTTAAAACCTGTTAGTACACTTGTGTTGTTTTGAGCCGCGTTTGATTTGTGTTTTCTTTTAAACAGATCATCGAAAAACGGAGACGAGACCGGATCAATAACAGTCTTTCTGAGCTGAGAAGACTGGTGCCAAGTGCTTTTGAGAAACAGGTTCGTGTGTGTGTGTGTGTGTGTGTGTGTGTGTGTGTGTGTGT